CAATAGCTCATTATGTGTTTGTTTTAATGATTTATGTTTGTAAAGAACTTATTTGTGGGGGAAATCTTAGTTGGTGAATTATCTACTTCGTTTCATGGTTGTTGTTTTTGTTTAGGGTAAATACAATTTATTAGTCAATTTTTTTTTAATTTTGGCTAATACCATTGGGAAACCCGAACTATTAACTTTGTGCCATTTGTGTCCTAAAGTATTTGATATGACAATTGTGTCCCAACGTTTGGTAGTTTTGTGTCATTTGTATCCTGACAGTTTCGTTGACCGTTAAAAGTAACGGTTGACCAGACAGACGGCCGTTAGGTCAGCTTCCGAAGCTTGCGTGGCACACTCCTGTTGGCCACGTAGACGACACATAGGCAAACACGTCAGATTAGTAATTTTTTTTACCATTCTGATTTAAAATAAAAAAAATCTGATTTAAAATAAAAAACCCTACTTTTTAACCCTCTTCATCTTCTTTGTAGCTCCTCCTCTATTTTCAAACTTCTTCTTTGGGAGAGCTGGGTCGTCGCGAGCAGAGGGCAGAGGAGAGACTGCGATAGCTCCCTCGCGTCGGAGTGGCGACGACGTTGGGTTTCAGTAACGCGGAGCGACGCCAGTTCGTGGTGACTTTGGTATTCATTGCGGCGAGGATAGTGGTGCGACGGCGTGCTTCGGAAAAAGATTGTCGAGGAAACCAGGTGAGTATATATGTTGGGTTGTTTTAGGGTTTGATGTACTTGGTTCTCATTCTCCATAATGAATGGGTTTTGTGGCAGCAATTGAAACATGTCGGGAAGGAGATTCGGCCAAAGCACTTGTGACTCCAATTCTTCCAACTCTCGAATCGTGAAGTGTGGGCATAATATACCAGCAAAGTCTTATGTTTCAGTGACAGAACTCAATCCGGGGAGGGGATTCTACTGTTGCCCATATTGGAAGGTAATTTATGCATTATTGTTTAGTTGGGGGATTTTATTCGCAAACAACAGCTCACTTCATCTTGATTTATTTGTCAGGAGCCTTCAAAAAATTGTCTATTCTGGCTTTGGGTGGATCAGCGTAATGATGAAGACGAAACACCTAGCTCCAATGTGATTATGGCAGATGATGAAGACATTAGGACGAAGTATGCTTCGATGGAGATTCATGTTACGAGCTTGAAGGAGAGCTTGAAACTTGCTGAAGAGAAAGCTGAGCGAAGGAAGCATGCTAAAAAATGTTTGTTTGATGATTTAGTTAGCATTAGGGAGGAAAACACTAGGCTGGTAGGGGAACTGAAGTTGGCCAATGCTCGATTCTTGTTTGTTTTGTTCCTTTTCGTAGGACTGCTTGTAGGCATTGCCATTGCAGGACTGAAATGAATTCTGCAAATGCACATCTATTCTGTAACTTATGGCTCGAGTTTATTTACGATGTTAGCAAACAATCATGTTTCTGTATGTTATTGAATCTGACGTTGGGGAATTCCCTTGTATGACAGTAAGTAAACAACGATAGCGTCATCTTATAAACATACCATTCAAACATCCTGAAATTGTTCGACAGAAGATGATCAATATCATAGTCTGAATCATACACATACATAATTGTGTTGGTCAGTTACAAAGGTTGCCCTTGTCTAGTTTTCCAAAATTAATCCAATGTTTGGGAATCTTACATGATTTCCTCCGGATATAAGGCAACCATATTTGCCCAAAATAAACATGATATCCATAATCTACTACGTTAACCCTACATCCCCTAATACCACCCATTTACAACCACTTTCCTACTGCTGCTGGCTCGGCTGTGTCGGTGGTGGCTGTGATCCTCCTTCAGCAATCACCGTAGGCGTTGACCCGGTACCAAGGTTGTCGTATGGCCTGCCACTTCTCAACACCCTTCCTGGTCTATCTGGACCATTTAGTATCACATATGTGTTTCCTAAATCAGTGTGCAACACACCAATTCCTTGGTTGGCCTGCAAATAATTGAAATGAGTTACTATACCGCTAACATTGTTAAGTTGTTGAGTACAATGAAACGAAGAACTTACCATCCTAACTTCTCTATCTTGAGCACGTCTACTAGTGACAGCACGATTGATGTGTGCTTCCTACCATGAACAAAGAAAAGAGCATTCAACGACCACTTTATAAGTTCATTTACGTGTTATCTAACATTCCATTCTATCATGAAAGCCAATTTGCGATGGTCCTCTTACCTGAATTCTGCCAACTAGAGGGCATGTTCTGGCATTGTAGTCAGCTTTCTTACACTTTGAACATAACCCTGGTCTCCTTTTCACTGCCGAGGGTTGACCTTCCTCATTTGCAGCAGCCCCTCCATCCCTCTCCTGCCTCCTTCGAACATCCCTCCCTCCACCAGTAGCAGCCCCTCCATCCCTCTCCTGCCTCCTTTGATCAGACCTTCCCCTTCCACCAGTAGCACCCCTTGGACCTTCAACGTTCCTGCTTCCTTCTCCTCCTTCTAAATTATGCACATTTATCCAAACACATTTTATACTTCAACGATGGTTACAATTTTCACAATTTATCCAAACGCATACAACACCAAACTTACCCGTTCTGCCCGAAGAACCGGACAAGTCCGCACATTATGGTCAGGAGCATTGCACTTCTTACAATGCATTACAGACCTAAACTTCCTCATAGAAGATCCATCACCACCATGTCGAACTGTCTCAATCTCCCCTGGTGTCTTCCTCCGTTGCTTCTTCGGACGTCCAAGTAAGACCTTGAATTTAGGAGGATAAATTGGGTAGCCTACTGATTCTGGCCAAGCTTGTTGGCCTTCAATGGTAGGAATACCAAATCCATATGCCATCTTGAACGACCCAACAGTGTAGTAAGGAGACACGACTTCACTTGGCTCTATCCTCTGCCATTGAAGGCAAGCAATTGCATGTACACATGGAATTCCAGTCAATCCCCACGACCCACAACTGCATGTCTTTTCGTCCAAGTCCAACACGTACCCCTTATGGTCAATGGCAACTTCAAACTTCTCCTCCAAGCCTGGAATCACTTGACACATCTTGGCTAAATCCACACCCTTTCTAATCTTCTTCTCTATCCTAGGACATAGGCGATCCCTCCAACCACCAGCTTGCACATTCTTTTCAACTATTCTGACCATGAGCTTCCTACGGATACCCTCGAGCATGTCAATGATCCTATCCTCCCTCTCTTCTAAGATATAACCATTGAAGGTTTCTCAAATATTACTTTCCACCGAATCACATCTGGAGGTGTGACTCATAAAAGCCCTGCAAAAGGTTTCTGGTTGATGATCCAGAAAATCTTGAAGTAAAGATGGATCTACCCCACTTTGTTGAATCTCCCCCATGACTTTGATGACTGCTTTGTAATCGTTGATGTTTGTTGCATACACAGCCTCCCAGTATAAGTCTCTATATGCCTTCACCCTATGGTTAACCTTCCAATTCGCGAAAACATGACGTGCACACTTTCTTAGCGATGCCTCAGGTAAGCAACTGTTTAATGCTTGCACAAGACCCTACAAACAAGAAGATAATGTAACCCAAATCTAATGCAAAGAAAACATTCCACACACGACAAACATTCTAAAACACATACAAAACACGTAGAATATTTACCTTGTGTTGGTCAGATATGACTGTCCACCCACGACCATCAATGGTCCTAAGATCTTGCTGTAAAATAGAAACAAACCACTTCCATGTTTCAAGACTTTCCCCTTCCACTACAGCCCAAGCAATAGGGAACATCCTATTGTCTCCATCTTTACCAACAACGCTCAAAAGCATCCATTTAACCTCACCTTTAAGAAAGCACCCATCCAAAGCAAACATTGGTTGGCAGCCCCTAGTGAAACCCCTTCGAAGCCCACTAAACCAAATGTACAAACTCTTGAACAACACTCGGTTGGGCACATTAGACGGGTCAACTTCTAGAATAAAAGTACCGTCTATATCCCGCTCTTTCAAAGCACCAACATACCTCCTAAGCTTGTTATACTCCTCTATCAACGACCCTCCTAACATCCGCTTGGCATATATCCTCGCCCTATAGCATTGCCTCCTCGAAATTATAACATTATGCGTTTGCCTCAGCTCCAACATCATATTCTTTACCTTCCAATCAGGCTCCCTTAAAAAATGTTCAATGTACTTCTTAGCCACCCAAGTTGCATTTGCAACCCGCATCCGGACAGCCCTAGGACAAGTGTGATCCTTCCCAAGATTCTTCACCATAAACAAAGAACGAGCAAGCCAACTACCGTAGATATACCACCCACACTTTTGGCGACATTCAGCACGCTTCTTATTCTTGTCACTTCTCATCCACTTGATATCGGCTCCAATTGAGATGGAATGCTCCTCCACTGCCTCTTTGAACTGCTCCGGGGAATTGAAGCTCATTCCCACCGTGAACTTTAGTGTAGAATGTTCACATCTGGGGTTGTAGTGGGGACCGTCATAAATAGGATCAGCTGGCTCTTCGTCTAGATTCCCATGAACTTGTCGTGAGTCAACTGAGCCTCTATATTCTTATTCGGGTAGAGTTCGGTTTCCCACTTGTTCTGCCCTTTCATGTGCCATATCTTCAGCTTCGGGTTGAGTTTGGTTTTCCCCCTTGTTCTGTCTGTACATGTGGGATAGCTTCAGCTTCTTCATCTTCAGCTTCTTCATCTTCACCTCCCATAGCTTGTGAGGGAACATCATGTTCGGTCCGCTCATAATCAGTTACAGATTCCTGCTCCACAGCTTCACCAGTTGCATCTTTAGTGGTACGAACCCTCATTCGTCGTGCTCTAATCCCTTGACTCTCCAAAGCATCGACGAACTCATCATCAGAAGTGCGCACATCATCATCCATAAGATGGATGATGTCTCGATTCTGTGACTCCTCATCACCTTCTGTATCACCGTCATCACTGTTCCCTCCACCAGCTTCTTCATTATCTACAACTTGAGTTTCTATACCTTCCATAAAGATCACGATTTTTCCATTTTCAACACCATGAATCAGTCCATCCATAACCTCGGTGTCGGACCTTATTTCAACCAAACCATTTCCCAAATTATGCGATGGAGCCATATACCACAAGCGCTCGACCCTAGCGTATTCAAAGTGGACGACACCAAGCTGTTGTAACTGGAAGTAGGAGATGTAGTCTAGGTCCATGTCAACTTCTTCAATCTTCCCATTTAGGTAGCGAGGAACCTCCTCAGAATAGTCCATTTTCCCACCATGGTGGACTATCAATTCCAAGTACGTAGTCATCCTGCACGTTACATAACATGGTTACTATTACAAATCCTCGATTATATTAATCTAATCACAGTCTAGGGTCAATAATTTTCTACCATTAAAAGCATTCCCCAAAAGTTGCTAAAAGACAACTTTGCAATCTAGCAATCCACAAACCCGTGACCTTTATGAATTGAATATTACAACTCCAAGACAACCAAATCACTATACATGGATGGAAATGACCAGAAGGTGCTTTTGGAATTGAATTCGTACCTGTTGCTCAACTCGCAAAGGGGGTAATTTCGTCTTCACGACTTCGTCGTGGTCCCTACTTTCCCCTTCTACTTCCAGCAAATCTTACAGAGCAAAGCCACTTCGTACCCACCACATTTACTTTCTTGTATGATTACCACCTTCCTTCCGCTTCCCACCTACTTAATTGACCTTCAAATAGCTTCACAACTCCAGAAAAACGGACACGCCCCTTCGCTCCAAAACCCTAGAAATTTTGGTCTAAACACAATTCCATACAACCCGATTCCTCTTCTAGTAAAGGCATCATCTACTCCTCCCAAGACGATGATACAAGCACTCGCGCAAGGTTGCCGACGATGATTGCAGAAGAAATCGAGGATGGGTGTCGAAGCTGCCGTCCGAAAAGGTTCCTCCCTGCCCGCCGTGCCCGAAGGTTTCGAAGCTGCCGTCGAGGATGTTCGTCCCTGTGCCGCGCCAGATGTTCGAGATGTTGACAGACTGCGGAGCTGGCGAATCGACTCCCCTCTGTTCGTCGGGGAAGAGAATCGGAGAATCGGGAGAACGGTTAGGGTTCTTGAGTTTTTTTGGGGGAAGTCGAGGGAGGGGTGGGGTAAATGTGATTCGGGTTCGGGTGAAACCCCGATTTCATTTAACTTTTTTTTTTAATTTGACGTGTAAACACGGGCCTGGGTTTGTAAATAAAAAAAGCCACCTAGACGGACACATCAGCAATGACCTGTCAAATAATTCAAAATTAACGGTCAACGGTAGTCAACCATAACGGAAAAATACTTTGGGACACAAATGTCGTATCGAATACTTTAGGACACAAATGACACAAAGTTAATACTTCGGGTTTCCTATTGGTATTAGCCCTTTAAAGTTTTTATATGTTTTATCAAGCTAAATCTTTTGCAATACATTAAAATATTAGCTAATTGTTTGCTAGCGTTAGTAGTTTTTTTAAACTCTTTTCTTAGTTAAAATACTTAAATTTTGGAATGTTGACCACCACATTTTTTTTCGCGTCAGTATCATGTTGCTAAGTCAATATTACTTACAAAATTGCGAACATAAAGTTAACATTTATCTTATAATTTGTATTTTAAAAAATTTGATTAATAAATTGAAAAGTCATCTAAAAATAATAATTTGAAAAGCTTAAAGGATATGACAAATAAATTATATTTTCCCTTTTGTTTATGATCATAGAATTATCTACTCAAAGCAATGATCATAGGTTGTGCTCACAAAGGACGGGCTTTTAGGCCAAGTCCATTGCTAGTCTCCAAATTGTGGGGACTCCCCAAATTTGAGGATTATCCCCATTTTCTTCTTTTTTATTCCAATGCTACATTCTCCAAATTTGAGGATCTTTCTTTTTAGTTAGTTTTTCTTTACTTAAAAATATACTTATGATCATCTTAATACAATTTGTTCATGTTAATTTTTGTATAGTTCGTCATCATTTGTAAATACAAAATTGTCGGTAGATTTTTTTTTAAATTTTGAGACCAGTTTTTTTTACAAAAAATGATTGACCTAATTTGCGTTTACACACAACACTTGAAAATTATTGATATAATTAAACCCCTATTAACCCCTGAAATCTTAAAAAGAAAAAGAAAAGCCACGTGGTGGGATTTGGGGAGTCTCTATATTTTGGGGAATCCCCATTTCCACCCCCAAATTTGGGGATTTTTTTTGCAGATCTCCCCTAAATATAGAGACTCCATTGGAGCCAACTTTTTTTCAAATATAGAGACTCCCTCATTTATAAAGGCTCTATTGGAGTTAGCCTTAAAGGGTTGGGGTAAAGGTCGGATAAGATCAAAAGAGGGAGTAGTAAAGGGAGAGGGTTTTCTAAGTTTGCCTAATTTTATAGTCGCATCTTTACATTTTAGATTTGGGCTGTTGTTTTGTAAGATCAAAAGATTCATGGGTAAAACACTACAAAGAATTATTTCCCTCAACCAATTATTTTCTTTCATTTTTCTAGGTTGATTATGTATGTATATAATGTGAAACTCAAAATTGCAACTATATAGTTTACTTAAATTGCCCACCATAGTTACCTAAAAAATAAATTGCCCTCCTTAATTCTAAATAGTCAATGTTTATTAGTTGTATCTTATTTGAATGTTATATTATTTTTCTATTCTTTCTGTGTTGCAACACATTATGCATAGTCTTACAACTTGACAAGTTGTTTTCCATTAGAGAATTGTCAAAAATCATAAATTGAATGCATCTCCAATATATATCATATATCTATTACTATATAATTGTTTCACCTAAACTCTCCCGATCAACAAGTTTTAGCTGGAAGTTATCAAAACAAACGAAATGTTTTCAATTAGATTTATATTTCAACATTTATCAAATAATACGATTATTATTTGTATGTTACCCGCCCAACGGAGAGGGCCCGGTGCTAGTTTCTTTTCTTTTATTCGGTTTAGTAACACCACAATAGCAAGGAACATATATTAAACCCAGTGAAGATTTGACGATCTTCCCTACCATATCCAATTCGGAAGCGGAAGGTCTGTACTGAGCCCAATATTTACCTCGGCCCAAATCTAACATTATTGAAATTTATAATGGGCCGATCCACCGACCTCGATTTGTTCGACCCAGAAATAACTCCGTTTACTGGTTGATGATGCTTTCCATTTCCTTGTAGTTGTAGGCCGTCAGATCAATATAAAGGAAAGCCATCGCACCCGTCCGCCTCCTCCTTTCCCCGCTGCGCTTTAAGTATTTGTTTATCCCGGCGAGGTGTGCGATAGAGCTGTTTGCGTTGATTATCAGCACTGTTTCTTTCGTCGGAGAATCGTAAGCACACGGCGGTTCATAGCTGCAGAGCGAAGAAGCGAGGAGAAAGCAGCAATGTCGGGAGTCACTAATCAGGAGGAAGACAAGAAGCCAGCAGACGGGGCAGCTCACATCAATCTCAAGGTCAAGGGCCAGGTAAGATTCCCTCTCAACTCTTCGCTTGCCTTCGATTAGCTTCATTCTGATAGGTCACTGCTTTTGTAAGATCGCGTTCTTGGTGTCTCAGGATGCGTATTTTCCGACTTGGGTTAAAAGTCGTGTGTTTGATTGTTAGGGTTAGGGTTTCAATTCAATTTTTTTGGGGGTTTAGTTTGTTTCTGTGCCTGTGTCCTAGTTCATCGTATGGAACTCCCCTATGGAGGGAATACGAGTCATTATTATTATCCATTCCTTACTGGTTTTGGTGCTTATCGACTAAAGTTGTTCCTTTTCCAATAACTTCTCTATGTTTTTGCGTGGTTTTATTTAGGCGACCCAGGGGAACACTTTATGGGTTACTGGTGGCTATGCTGACATTGGTTTCCATTGGTGTTCCCACTTGTTTTGGTCCTTATATCAATTATAGGTAGCAGATACTTGTGATTCTGCGATTCAACGCAGGCTTTGAGTTACTCTCGCGAACTCTGAAGTACTTTCATGGTTGCCTTATTGGTTTCTTTACTTAGCTCTACCTTTCATTGAGTTGGAGTGTGCAAGCAAGTTTACACTGCCGGTGCAGTAAACATGAATAAACGGGACTCTCGTGGATCCCCCTATGGCGAACTAGCATTTGATTAAGTATTGGTCTTGTCTAATTATCTGATAGAATTTTCTGTACTGGATTCTATTTTCTGCGTATATAGTTTACTCCGACCGGCTTAGGTTTCGAGATACAACCCAGGAGGGGCAACTAGAGTAGCTTAAGAAACATGGGTATATTGTATCCTAGATCAGTGCACAGTCTTTCTGCAAAATATTTAGATCAGTATTTTCTCAATTTCCTTGAGCATGTTATTCTAATTTTTTTTGCATTTTGTAGGATGGGAATGAAGTCTTCTTCAGGATCAAGAGAAGCACTCAATTGAAGAAGCTTATGGGTGCGTATTGTGATCGTCAGTCGGTTGACCTCAACTCCATCGCATTCTTGTTTGATGGCCGCAGGCTTCGAGCTGAGCAGACTCCAGATGAGGTCTCTGTCTTTCCTCCTTTATATTCTGCTCTGTTTTTATTCTGGCAATATGCTTGAAACATGTCTGCTCTGTGAGCACGTAGTTCAAGTTTGAATTTGTCTTGAGTTTTTGCTGAGCCATCAGTATATAGTACTGATCTGAGCTTTCTGTCTTGCAGCTAGAGATGGAGGACGGAGACGAGATTGATGCAATGCTCCACCAGACCGGGGGTGCAGCAAGTGCCTAGAAAGATATCTGCTTTTACTGTGGTAGATGTAAGATATTAGTTATTCTGTGAATTACTGGTCTCTGAGAAGTAGTCTGCTTTTCGAGTAGGGAGCGATCTCTGATATACCGTCTATCTTTAGTAGTTTGATACTATGCTAGAGGCTATCTTCGTGAGTAGATTGTTATTATGATGCTATCCTCAATCCCCACGGAGGCTAGGTATGTATGGATCTATCTATGGGAAATATTGTTGAGACCCTAAATAGCTTTCATCTGGGTATTATTCATTCGCCTGTGCGCCACATTCATCGTTGATTGTTCTTAGGGTCGTTTGACGAGGAATCTGATAAATTTGCGAGGCAGTTGCGCCCAAATCCTTGCTTACAAAATCACATATCTGTCATGTGGGATTTGACTTTTGAGCTAAATACAGTGTTTGGTTAGGATCAGGGTTCTCATTAAAGAAATCAAAATATCATCTTACCCTCGTCTTCTTCCACTCATCCTCATCTTCTTCCTCCCAACAAAATGCGCCTTAGCGGTTGATCCCAATCCCAAGCGCAATTCTCAGCGACAATGGCTTCGACGGATTGAATGAGTATAATGCTGGCTCTGGAGTCTGGATTGCAAGGGATGAACTCTATATTCATTTCATCTTTTTGAATCTCGTTGATGACAAACCTCTATTCTCGACGAGGATGAATAACAAAATCCACTGGTGAAGAAACCTAATTCTTCATCCAGTTCAATAACAGTGAAATCCACGAGTGTCGATATGGACCAATTCGTTGCATACTCCTAATTGATAATCAAGTCAAATTACCTAATGACATTTCTACTCGCAAGGGATGGTTGAGTTTTATATTGCACTACTTGTTTCTTGCGTTCAACCTTAACAACCAATATCATTTTGCAGAATGGTCTTCATTGGAGTGCCAAGGATCCTTTTTGTTATTCTCATGCAAACTAGTGTTTATTTTATTTCCAGTGATGTAGGAAGCAACACCGAGTGTCAAAGTCATCAGCATAAGTATCATGAAAATATATGAGGTTAGCTCTGGTATGCTATATGCTTACATCAATTTCTTGAATATATTGAATATATTGGCTTCCTCTGGCATGTACCCATCAAAGTGTTTGGTGACGGCATCAGTACAATTCAAATCGTTACTTATGCACGGTTTCATTATCTTGACATGAGACATTCAATTATCTTATATATCATTCAATTCTTCTTTATTACGATTTTGATGTGCTTTATCCATTTCTCACAACAACAGACTATTCATTTTGCATGCTATTATGTGTGAAAAATATAATTTAATCTTGTAAACCTATACAATAAATTTGTACCAAAAGAAATAAAAAATTTAACAAAGTGAGATCCACTTTTTTAGAATGTGTACCGCGTTGGTGTAGTTTCAAGCACACTCATTCACTAAAAAATACACTAATTCATTGCATACACTAGGGGTGAGCATTGGGTGGGTCGGGTGGATTTTGATCATAAAATGCACTCACCCGCGCTTAAACGGATTGATAATTTTTAACCCACCACCCACCCACATTTAGTCTCGGATTGGGTCGGGCGGATGGTGGATGATGCGGGTGGGTTTGTGGGTTCACCCACATCACAATGTATACAATATAAAGGAGTCAACTTGACATGATAATAGGTGAAGAGAGTTATCGGGGGAAACAAGAAGATGAAATATGGCGAAAAATGTCGAATTAGTTCTTAAACTGGATAGAAATTCTATTATGAAAGAGTTTTCTACAGATTGAGATGATTATCAGGTGCAAGGAACTAAGAAAAATAATTCCACAAAGGAAAGAGCGGTGATCTAGGCACAAGAATTAGAGGAAAAAATAAAGGGAAGAAGAGGGGATCGCTATTTGGAAGGTTTTCTTTGAGGTTCAAACTCCAAGAGCAGTCCTAGTTTATGTCTAACGTCTCCACTCTCCCCTCTCTAGCGCCAACGACTTTGATCTTTTTGTTGTTGGGTTGAGCGGGTCACCCGCGCACCCATCCACAACCCACCCACCACTCGGCGGATGGCTTCCCGCGCAACCCGTCACCCACCCACTTAACGAAATTCGGATCAAATGCGGGTGGGTCGGGCCAAAACTGCGGATGATCCGCCCGCAAACTGCGGATGATCCACCCGCATGCCCAGCCCTAGCATACACTATTCTAACTTTACAAATTACAAGTATGACCCTCATCTCATGCAACCAACTCAATGACCCATAGTTTGACCCATGTGTTCAATGTTTTGCTACTTCTTATGTTATGAAATAACAAGGAAGAGGAACATACACAAGAGTAAGAGTAGAGACACAAGAAGAGAGGGGGATTAGAGCTTTCTTATTCATGTGTTCCTTAGTACAAGGAGATCATCTATTTATAGGCACACATCACATAACCTCTACATTCTTACAATCAATATACATGAATGTGAGAATGAATGTGAAATAGAAATGGGGTGGAGGGTTACATGTAACACCCAATTGTGCAACTAATGTGTCATATGGAGAAATAAATATAAGGAGATGAGTTACATAGAACTTGTAACATACCATGGAGCATCTAATGTTGGTCATCCATAATAATAATAATATTTTCATAACACTCCCCCTTGGATGACCATTAGACATGAATATGCCTCGTTAAAACCTTACTAGGAAAAACCCTGTGGGATAAAATCCTAGTGAAGGAAAAAGAGTACATAATCATCATAATACGTTATCTGAATCTGCCTCGTTAAAAACCTTACCAGGAAAACCCAGTGGGAAAAACCATGGTTAAGGAAAAAAGAGTGCAGTGCGTATATGCTCCCCCTCATGACAACATCAAAGTATAGTGTTGTGAACAAATCTTTCAAATCTTCTCATGGTAAGCTTCTTAGTGAACAAATCTTCTAGATTGTCACTTTATGCATGATCCATTAGGACCATTTTCTTCATACATGATCTTCAAGATCATTTTTTATGAAGAGAATCCACAACTACAAGTCATTTAGACGTGTTGAATCACAAATCTTAACCAAACAATTCATAACAAGTCTCATGAATTGTTGAGCATTGTGCATGATCAGTTGCTATTGTGATTTCTTTGGAATCTCCATGAGATACAAATTACTCATCTATGATCCTCATCGTTACCTATAGTAACGAAGTATAGCGAGATACATTTTCGCTCTAACGACATTAACATACGGTACTTCAGGACCTAATAATTCACTTTTATCTCAATGCCTAAATTGACCTTTGTTCACTTCTAGTGACCATGTGATCATTAAGCTGTTGAACATATGCAATTTTTTCAATACAAAATTGTCCTTTCACCTTTCCGACATTGTCGTACTGATTCAAAAAGGATCTTAAATCCTTCATGTTCAAATTTCTTTTTTTAAGCAATCCATGTTGCATGAAACTCTTCTGGAGTTCAATTTTCTTTCATTAAGCAAAACATGCTTTATGAAGCTCTTCTGGAGTTCATATCAACTAAAAGATATGAGATCATTATAAAATAATTTCTCGACTTTTTTCTTCCAAATAACTATAAAACTTAGCTAAGACAATTGTATGCAAACAATTACTTCATACCATAAGGTCACAAGCAAAAAGCACGTCATACACACAATATCACTTAACCAAACCATATTCATAAATCAAACTCATAACTAAAACCACAATATCACGCATATAAGCCTATATGTCATTACACAATCACACATGCCAAATGCAAATGCTCCAATGCACTTTATTCGAATTTAATCACGCAAGGCTTATTCGACCACTTTCTTTAGTAGATAGTCACTTAGATGAATATACCATATTAATCCATTTTATCTCAATCCATACAAGGGATTGTTTTATCGATCGATATTGTTCTCGAGAACTTCACATATTTGCTTCCGGCAAACTAATCCTTCAAGGAGTTTCGTATAAATATCATTATCAAGGGATCCATACAAATAGGCTATCACAATATCTACCAAATGCAAATTTCATGCATTTTGAACTGCCAAACTATTTAAATTGCACAACATAGTTGCATCCACCACAAGAGAGTATGTCTCTTCATAATTGATGTCAGGTTTCTACCAGAAACCTCTCACGAGAAATTGTATTATATCTCTCGCAATTTCCATACGCGTTTGCACAAAACCTATTTGCATCCCATTAGTTTTACATCTTCAGTGGTAAGGACTTCTGGTCCAAAACTTATACCAAATAGCCTAATGCTTTCTTTTATATTGGCCAATATATATTTTTTTGCATGCATCAATAGACTTTTACTTTTGATCCTCTTTGTATCTATCACGTTCAGTGCTGCAGCATAATCAAAACCCTTGTCGACAATAAATACACTTCGGTTCCAACTTTTTTCATACAAGCCAATTAATTGAGATCTCTTCATTTTAAAACGTTCAGGTACCTACTATTCTTTTGGAACTATGATCTCAATTTTATGACTTGACTCTTCTAGAGCTATTTTATCCTCGAGTTTACCATCTTAATTTATAGCTCCTTCCTTTCTCGAGGATTTTTATCCTTGGAACCGATTGGTCTACCACGCTTCATGCGCTCGTTTAGACTCATTAGATTATGCAATATGGACATCAATTTGTATTGGAGCATTCACAACTGGGCATTTGACATAATCACTCCTTTTAGTGAGTAAAAAGGCGTTTGGCAATCAATACGTTTTTTTCCTCCATGAATCATCATATGAACTTCGGGTTCATGTTTCTTCGTTTGAGGATCAAAATGAGATAATGATGATTCCAACTCACATCTATGCCCCAGTGTTTACTTTTCTCCGCCTTAACGTTCGAAAAGTAATTCATCAAAATGATGATATTAACAAAAAGAGTCATGAACAAATCTCTCATTGCAATGGACACCATGTCCAACATAAATTCTCATGGAACTCATAACGTGTTGTGGTGGAGCAATTGGGATGTATTCTGCACACCCAAATTTTTTAGCATTTTAAATGTTTGGTCCCTCACCAAAACCATTTGTATGAAAGGGGAGAACTTATGATAACTTGTTGGCTTCATGCGAATTAATGATATCATATGCCTCGATAAGAGATCGATAGACTTAGTTTGTTCTCATAAGAGAAGTTCTGTTTGATTGGATAATCATCAAAATATATCCATCATTCGGCAACTAATCTTGCAAACATCAGGTTGCGTTTAGATAACAGACATATATGATGATATAGTTGATGAATCAACCAAAATCATAAAATTCATATATGATTTGCACGGTGAGTGTATTTTTCTGCATACAATTTTATAAAATCTCAACAAATTCAATTATTTTCACGAGTATATTCTCCTCGAGACCATGTATCACATAATCAATCCTTTGATTGATGAATTCTCTGAACTCTCACTTAATTTCCGTATGATATCTCAATCATTTTTGCATCTGTATCTGGGATGGTATGACCGGACATGCCAAAATAAAAAGTTATCCGATCTTGCAAACTTCTGGTTTACACTTTCATATGTACTAATATACATGTAGTACAAATTTCTCCGGTTAAGTATATGTTCTCTTATAACACATTTCTGATGCAATATCAATTATGATATTCTTTTCTGTGAATATCTTCATAATTCGGTAATGCATCTTCATCTGACAGTTTAGTTCATTCGCGTCTCAAAACATTAGCTCTTCTGGAGCTTTCACATACTCTTGTACTACATTTTGGTCATTAGGCACCTTTTTGTTTCGGTGAACTATTGTGAGCACAAATCCATATTGATAAGAATATTGTCACACTATTTATCACCAATATATTGTTTAGTTACTTCAAGTAACAAAACACAATCTCTTCCGGAGCTTTTGATTACTTTCATACTATATGATATAATACCAGTATTGACTTTTGCAAATATTCAATTCTATACAAAAACATACAAAATAATAATAATAATAATAATAACAACAACATATATGTGTTTCATAACACATTTCGGCATACGAAGATTACAGTATATGATCATGACTTTTGCTACATGAATTATCATCCCCATTTATAATTATTTTATTTTTCACTCCCGGTGAAAAGAAACATTTGCTGATTGTCATTATTCAAACTTCCCATGTATTTTTCATTGTAATGGTAACTCATATTCCGACATTTTTGTTACAAGATTCACATATATAAAATAAGTTCATAAAATTATATGAACAAATAACAAGATCAAATAATCTCTCAAAGACATTGAGATAGATAAACATACTAACAAGAAACGGCATGAAAATTTGTATACCTTGATCGTGTTGTGATCTTACTCAAGTATATCTGAATCTGTAGAGAGACAATCACCAACCATGACTTTGGCAGAGCTTCGTGCTGATAACGTGTTATGAAATAACAAGGAAGAGGAACATACACAAGAGTAAGAGTAGAGACACAAGAAGAGAGGGGGAATAGAGCTTTCTTATTCATGTGTTCCTTAGTACAAGGAGATCATCTATTTATAGGCACACATCACATAACCTCTACATTCTTACAATCAATATACATGAATGTGAGAATGAATGTGAAATAGAAATGGGGTGGAGGGTTACATGTAACACCCAATTGTGCAACTAATGTGTCATATGGAGAAATAAATATAAGGAGATGAGTTACATAGAACTTGTAACATACCATGGAGCATCTAATGTTGGTCATCCATAATAATAATAATATTTTCATAACAAGATCCACTTTTTTAGAATGTGTACCGCGTTGGTGTAGTTTCAAGCACACTCATTCACTAAAAAATACACCAAAACTATTCTTTGCATACACTATTCCAACTTTACAAGTATGACTCTCATCTCATGCAACCAACTCAATGACCCATAGTTTGACCCATGTGTTCAATGTTTTGCTACTTCTTTTTTTTTTTTTGTTTTGCCATCAATGTTTTGCTACTTCTTAAAGTTCTATTCTTTCCGGATCCACACATAGCCCACAATCTCAGAAAGCAGGCCCATTAATTCGAACTCACGCAACCGGGCCCCCAAGAAATATAAAAAATCTAACTCTTCCTTTTTATTTGGAAAATAATTCAATTCAGTTTATTTCTTTTCCTAAAAAAAAAAAACTTTTCCCTTTCTCGTGTAAGCGTATTATTTCCACCTGCCCGAACATATAAAACGTCCACGGGCAGACGCCATAGGAAGAACAGAGTGAAACAGAGTAACAGACAACAAAATAATAATAATAATACAGAGTAAAGCAAGCGGGAAGTGCAGTGAGATTGAAATCGGTGACCAACGCAATCATGAAGAAGGATGTTAATCACTACTGCAATCATCATCAACATCGGAGCATTCTTTCATTCATCCTGATTCAAATTACAATCATTGCCGCCGTCGCCGCTCCCTTCTCCGATCAGTCCTCCTCTGTCCCCGACTACGGCGACGCTCTGTCGAAGAGCCTCCTCTACTTCGAATCCCAGCGCTCCGGCCGATTGCCACACGGCCAGCGCGTCAACTGGCGCCACCATTCCGCCCTCCTCGACGGCCTCGAACAAGGCGTACGTGCGCCTTGCTCTGTTTTCATCACTGCTGATACTCTGTTCCTTTTGTCGCGGGATTAAAATTGGGATCTAGTCTCTGCTGCCTCTTTTTTTCCCCTTCCTTAAATTTTCTTCTTGGTTTCGCCGATGACAGGTGGACTTGGTGGGCGGGTACTATGACGCCGGAGACAACGTCAAATTCGGGCTGCCCATGGCCTTCACCATCACCATGCTGTCGTGGGGAGTGATAGAGTACGGCGACGATATGGCCGCCGCCGGAGAGTACCACCACGCGCTCGAGGCGATTAAATGGGGCACCGATTACTTTGTCAAAGCACACACCAGCCCCAATGTCCTCTGGGTTCAGGTGATTCTAATTTCTTTCGCCCGAAATTAAAAACATTAGTAAATCGATAGTGTACAGTTTCACTCTTATTATTCTTCTAAGAAACGAGATTGCGACTAGATTTATGAAATATCCGAACAATTAAAGTTTGTATTTTTTTTTTTCCTTTGCTTAATGAAGGTGGGAGATGGTGATACTGACCACTACTGCTGGCAACGGCCGGAGGACATGGCGACGTCCCGGCGGGCGTACAAGGTGGACGAGAAGAATCCGGGGTCGGAGGTGGCCGGGGAGACGGCGGCGGCGATGGCGGCGGCTTCGATTGTGTTCAGGAGAACGAATCCACATTACGCCCACCTGCTATTACAGCATGCACAACAAGTAGGTCCTAGTTATGCGTATTTTAATTGTTTATAAATTATATAATCACTTTCTATAGCGACATTTCTCCTTATATTCGTGATGCATAGGGATTAGGGAGGTTGATTAGGTGCCCCTTGTTTCACCAAAACTCACTTCCTCATTTTGTGAATTCGTTGGTCTAATTTTCCTAAATAACCTACTCAACTTCCATTACTTATTCACGACGGGTACTACTGCTAATTAAACCTGATTTTTTTTGGCAATTATTCAAAATGTGCATATACCTTCGATATTTGTGCAAAATGGTCAGATGATAAGAAATTCATCTAGTTTGCAAATGCCAGTATTTCAGGTGAAAATCTAAGTCCACCTAGCTAATAATTACACGAACCAACTCACCGAAATAATAGACGACCTATATTTGAAGTTAAAAAAGTTCACACTCGATCGCTTATTCGATGTGATTTCTTTTTAGTTTGACATATATATATTTTTATGGATATGACGGATTCCATAGGTGCTTCTTTCAAAATGAAGGAAATATTGGATATGATTATAAATGGAAGTGGCTAATTTGCTACCAAAAAAATTGAAAATTATATTACCATTTGAAAAAAGAAGAAGAAGATGCATAGTGTTTTGAATAATTATTTATTTTCCTTGCCAATCCTTCTGCCCTTACTTTTTTTTCCATTGGTCATTTAAATGTCAATTGGAGGCATGATTTGGCTAGCAAAGTAGAATTGGCCAAGTAGTTGTAAGGCGGCAGCGTTTGAATCCAAAAATCTCAGTTTCAAGGCCCGTAACGTTAAGGCAGTCATAAAAAAATGCATGATTTGGCTGGTTGAATTGGATGGTTGATTCTTTTTACTTTATGAGACCCACAAAAATCTCACGTATTCTCAAATCTCTACAATCTGAAATTTACCATGAAGTCTTGTCGGTCTTGATTCTTAATCAATTAGCACGCATGCAACCAACATTAATAACCTAGCTTAATTGCTGAACAAAAAACAAATTAAAAACACCCGATTTATTTACTGTGAAATATACATTTGCAGCTGTTCGAGTTTGGAGACAAATACAGAGGCAGGTACCACGAGAGCGTGAAGGCAGCCAAGGGTTTCTACCCTTCCACGAGCGGCTACAACGACGAGCTCCTCTGGGCCGCCCTATGGCTCTACAAAGCCACCACCAACCAAACTTACCTCAACTACGCCCTCCAAAATGCTCACCACTTTGGTGGAGCCACTTGGGCCGTCAAGGAGTTCAGCTGGGACATCAAATACGCCGGCCTCCAGCTCCTCGCCTCCACCGTACGTTACATATTCCCTATTTTTTTTTTTCGTATTAGTGTTAGCGTTACTATAGCAGGCGTATTACTCTTACCTATATGACCCCTCTCTCTCTCTTTGTTTGCAGCTACTGAGGGATGAAACAACTAGGCACGACAACCACAGCCGCAATATACTAGAAACCTACCGCTCCAAAGCCGAGTACTACTTGTGCGCCAACCTCAACAAGAACGTTGGAAACGATAACGTGCAGCTCACGCCAGGAGGCTTGATCTACATCCGACAATGGAACAACCTCCAATACGCGTCATCAGCGGCGTTCCTGCTCACGGTCTACTCCGACCACCTCCGGTCCACGAACCGCCGGCTGTCATGCAGCGCTGGCGGCCACGTGGACCCGTCGGAGATCCTCGGGTTCGTCAGATCGCAGGTGGATTACGTGTTGGGGAAGAATCCGGCGGGGACGAGCTACCTTGTGGGGTACGGCAAACGGTACCCGCAGAGGGTGCACCACAGGGGAGCTTCGACGGCGTCGTATAAGAGCCACGAGGGTTTTATCGGGTGTGTGCAGGGGTACGATATTTGGTATAGGAAGAGAGATCCCAACCCTAATGTTCTGGTCGGGGCGGTTGTCGGCGGGCCGGATGAGAAGGATCGGTTTCGGGACGTGAGGGAGAATCACATGCAGACGGAGGCATGTACTTACAATACGGCCGCACTTGTTGGGGTTTTTGCGAGGTTGAATAGGTTGGAGGAGGAGGAGGATGATCCCTTTGACGAGTATTCTTCATCCACAATTGCGTCCATGTAGTAATATTGAAGAAAGAAACTGATTTTGTTTGTTTCTTTTATAATAGAAAATAAGTAGAAGAAAAGATTGAGATGGAACCACCTATTTAATGGTGTAGTAGTGAGATTGTGATCCCATTTTTGTCCATCTTTATCGGACTAACAAGGGTGGAAATCATCCCAAGTCCAGCGATGAACTTTCTGATTCAAAAGATTTGTTTTGTAGTTCTTGATCCTAAGTCGAGCGCATTGAGCTGATCATAGGTATGCATTTAAGCCAAAAAAAAAAAAAAAAAAAAACTAGAAATTCTACTTGTCTCCTCATTATAGATACGTATTCATTCCGTGCATCAACTCTTTTTTTAAAGAATTCTCACATTTAAATTGATTTTCGAGCGATCTTTATCACATTAATACTTGAGAAAATTTTCACATATTAATTCTATCCAGGGTCAGATCTTTCATCTAGATGTCCAGTTTGTTCCCTCTCGCTGCACAACTCGATTAATTGAATAACAACTAAGATCACCGCATCAACTCATACCTCTTACCTTTTATTGTTTAAGCATGATAACAACTATGAAGAGAATAAATGTGAAAGAGTTATTCACATATAGGTCATAAGATCTTAGATAAGCCTAACAAGATAGTTGGCATAAAAAAGACAATTTAATCTTATAAATAGTGTTGACTCTAAGATTTAGACGCAGATAGTAATAGATGTTAATATTTTCAATTACGTACCACCGAACCAACTCATTATAGTTGTTTCAACAAAATACATGTAGTATTATATTCTACTCCAAGGGTACAAACCTCTAATATTGCATTAATCAATTAAATCCATTTTGAAATTTCTCCTATTTATACTGTAATTATTCCAGTTTACAACCTATAGTAAAAGAAAAATTGCAACCAAATTCCAGACGATGATAGAGCCGACTGAATTGAGGGTGGATATATATACAACTCCAATTCCCATTAGTTCCATTGTTACATCAAGACATTGATATTAGGTTTGACCAAAGGCTTAAAATATCATGCCTTGATCAGTTCCACGGTGAACATCAAGACCATTGACACAGCTTTGTTTATCATTGGCAATAGACCTAACCGTGGGCCGAATCAAGTCCGGCAAGTAAACCTTCTTTAGAAACATCTTCCTAACCAATGACGAAACGACGAAGCTTAAAAAATGTAAGGAGTTTGTTGGGAAGCGAGTAAGAGACGGTGGTGGAGCAGTGGGATCTCCTAACAGCAACTATATGGCCACCGGCACACAGACAATAAATAAATGAATAAACTAAAGGCAACAATGTTCATAAGTGGCTGTCTTCATTAATATAAACATTAGGACACCCTCTAATGCTCAAATTAGCAGGTGATGTCTAAAAGAGAAATATGATCTTGATAAAAGACACGAGCAAGGGTGAATTGAACAACTTGACCAAGGGTGAGTTGAACAACTTGAACTGCTCTTCAAGCCTTGAACTAAACTCTTCAAATTGTTTAACAGGTAGGGCATTTGTTAGCAAGTCTGCAAGTTGGTGATGAGTTTTGATGCGCGGAATCTTGGTGCGTCAAAATGCTAGCTTTTATCGAACAACATGTGCACATCTATCTCGATGTGCTTAGTTCGTTCATGAGCAACATGATTGTCTAGTTTTGGCAGCCAGCCAAGTGTCTTGCATCATCATCTATATCCCGAGCATTTTTTGGACAAAGTGTTAAACCGCGAGTGCTTCTAGTAATTTGTAGTTTTAAAAATAATCGAAGACAACAAAGATCTTTTTTTTTGAATTTGTTGTCCAGTTTTGTTTTGGTTTCTTTATTTCGAGGGTTTTAGGGTTTCTTTCTAGTCTTGGTTGCTCAGATCCGCGTAAGTAATTAATAAGGATCGGACATCGAGTCTTGATTGTTGACATTGTTGTTTTAGGGTTTCTTTCTAGTATTGGTTTCTCAGATGCCAGTCCCCGGAGGGTGGTGGGGAAGAGTTTGCACATGGTAGCGTCAGATGCCCCCACGAAAGGCATCAAAATCTGGAAGGCACTGAGGTGATCCTCTTGGTCGGAAGTGCGTAGTATTCTGGAAGGTGGTGAGGCATTTGGAAGTTTAGGGGGGTTGGGCTGGTCTAGGATTGAATGGGCCAAAGGCTTTCCGTGCCTAGGGTCAGCCATGAAACTGGGAGTCAGGTGGGCCTCATGGTATGAGAGATCCCCTGGTTGTGGAGGTGGAGGAGGGATTGACGTCCCATTGGGGTAGGCTGACCCTCCGGTGGTCTCCGGTTGGTGGCTAGAGCTTGCATGCAACCCATTGGGTGGAGGAGGTGCTGATGTCAATGCTTGGACTTGGGCTTTCAACTGCTCAACTTGGACTTGAAGTTCTTCGACAGGCGGTGGAGGAGGTGGCTCTTTGTCCCGAACTCCGCCGTTAGTTTGAGGGTGTAGGGAGCTTTGAGACTCCATCCTGAGTGAAGTAGTGGCCGGTGCTAGGTTTTCTTCAACCTTTTGCTTCGGGGCCCCACGGTGGGCTCCAATTGTTGATGTCGGGGTTGTAGTCTACAGTGAATTTTTTATGTTGGGCATAGAAGTCGGTCGACGACCATCTTTCACCTCGAACTTCACTTGTGATGTCAGCTTCAGTCGTCTCCTACAAAAAAGGTCCGCCGGTCGATCTCGGCGGGGACACTCTCCGACGCTCAAGTTAGTGAGTGGGTTGAGTGAAGAGGAATATGACATCGAAAAGAAAGATAAAGGAATGGAGTTGAGAATGAATTTCTACGCTAATCATGGCGCGAGGTCACGAGTCTAGACATGGGATTTTTTACTTACCTCAATCTGGAGACGAAGTGGCCTTTTATAGAGGCCCCCAAGCGAACATGAAGGGAGTACGTGTCTCCTTCAGGAGCTTGGTGGTGTGGTGGGAGGACACGTTGCAGCGGGTACGTGGCTAAAGATCGAGGTGACCTGGGGTGGGCGGAGAGCCCAAGGTAATCGAGGTGACCGGGGTAGATGATCGCGGGGGTGACTCGAGGTAATTGACCGCAGGTGGCTAGAGTGACCCCGGGGTGGGGTAGGTAACCCGAGGTAATTAATCCCGGGGTGGCTGGAGTGACTCCAAGGTGACCCATGATGATTGACCCCGGGTGGCCAGAGTGACCCCGGGGTGGGCTAGGTGACCCAAGGTATTTGACCCCGGGGTGGCAGGAGTGACCCCAAGTTGACCTAAGGTATTTGACCCTAGGTGGCCGGAATGCCCCAAGGTGAACCAAGGTATTTGACCCGGGGGTGGCCGGAGTGACCCCAAGGTGAACCAAGGTATTCGACCCTGGGTGGCCGGAGTGACCCCAAGGTGACCCAAGGTATTTGACCCCGGGTGGCAGAGTGACCCCAAGGTGATCCAAGGTATTTGACCCCGGGGTGCCCGGAGTGACCCCAAGGCGACCCAAGGCGAGCCAAGGAGACATTTGACCACGGGTGGCCGAAGTGACCCCAAGATGAGCCAAGGTATTTGACCACGGGTGGCCGGAGTGACCCCAAGATGACCCAAGGTATTTGTCCCCTGGTGACCGGAGTGACCCCTGGGTGGGGTTGTTTCTGTCCAATAAAATAAATTTTTCTTAGGGTCCACCAAAATCAATTTGGACCGCCCAACGGGCAAGTAAAAAATTAGTATATATGGTGAATTCTACAGTGCACAGGGCAAAAACCGGGACATTTTGTACCTTGGGCGATCCTCACCATTCATTTCATTTTGACAGTCCTCGTTAGATTTCGGTAATCTTTAACAAATAATTAATCAAATTACAAAACGCCTCCTTAAGTAGGAAGACATTTTCATTCACGTCCAACCAAACTGCAACCGGTTAAATAGTATTGATTAAGGGTTTCAACCCTTTTGGGTAAACTCACTGCCGCCCTAACCAATTTTCCGGTCTCCCTTTCATGATCCCTCGTTATTTTTTCGAGGGGGCGTCGCTTCCTAGTTCGATGATAAGCTCCCAATCCCCATCCACTCTGAAATCACCAATATAATCATCGTTTTGAACTCGAAATCCTTATACCCACAATCGACCTTAGTTTGGAGTTTCCCATAGTTTTCGTCTTGTTTGTTCTTATCTATTTTATATCACTCAACAATGTATTTGACCTTTTTCAAATCGAAAGGTATGATATACTCGCCTATCTCTTTGTAACACGATTACGGCGACCATGTGTAATTGTGTGTTCATCACAATTTTCATTTTAGTCTTATACATTTTTAGATTTTTAGACTCTTACGTTTTATTGTTCACTCAAAGAAAAATCACTCAACTAAAATTTCCAAGTAATGTAGAGTAGTGACTTAAATAAATTATCTGAATCATTTTTCCACACAATCTTACTATAAAATAATAATAATTCAAATGTCTAAAATCCAAAAATTTATATCTGCTATACTAGTTCCATATTTAAAGGAGGACTGGCCTACTCTATTTCACTTTCGTTTAAATTTACATAATTCAAAATCTCAAACAACAAGTCGTATTTACACCATAAGTCCTACCCACGAAGTGCATTCATTTCTATATCCCCTCTCCAAACCTCAAAAGATTTTGAGAAAGTTCCCAAACAAGTATTTAACCGGTTGAATTCCTAAAAATTATCCAAACGTTAACTCTCCGTCAACTTTTCTGTTAGTAATGCTGACTAAGTATGACCATAATGAGTTGAATTCTTATGTGGCGGTCAGAATACCATCATTTACTATTTTTAATAAAAAGATTATACAAAAATAAAACATAATCACACTCCTCACATGGACGAAATAAATAACGGTAACAGAATGAATGCCCAGACTTTGATAAATTATAATACGTTTGGATAATAAATAGAATTTCTATAAGTTTGGTTAAAATAAAAGAATCTGAAAAAGGTTTGGATAAAAAATAGACATTGCCCTATTAATAAATACTCGCGGTGGATAGAAGAGGGACTCGTCAGTTTTGGACCCAAACAAACCAAGTATCCTTACCATTGAGATAGATCCAAATTATTCGTAAAAAAAAAAAAGAAGAAGAAGAAGATAGATCCAAGTAGAAAATTATTGTTTTTTATATATATACATAAATAAATAAAAACGATTCATCCAAAAGCCTCAACCTCGCATCACAAAACAAAAGCTGAAGCCAAAAAAGGAAAACCCACAAATTAACACATGTATGTATATGGCGCAGCTTAGCAGCTACATAAGGAGATCATCGGGATGTTTATTTTTATTTATGATGATCAGAATCTAGTAGTATTGTCGCCCCTCCGGCGATAATCAGCATGGGGTTCGTGCTCCTTGTACCGATTCTTCACCGCTTCCTTCAGGCGGTCTGGATCGTCGGCACCACCCACCGACTCATCTATGGCGTCCAACGTCTTATCCGCAGTCTGGCTCGCCAGCCCTTGCTGCTCCGCCACCTCGATATGCCTCTCTTCCTTGGCCTTTTCACCCTCCAGTCTCTTGAACTCCTCCGCCAGAGACGGCGCTCTCACTATCTCTTCCTCGTCAGTCTGCAGTATTATCTCTTCCTTTCTCCCCACCGCTGCTGTATCTCTGCGTACGTGTACCCGCCATTAGTGGCGAAGCCAGAATTTTAAGTAAGTAAGGAGGGGCTGAAATACCAAGCGGCAACAGATTCATACAATTCAACCTAAATTTCGGAAAACATAGAAAGAAAGAAAGAAAGAGGGAGATCGATCGATGGAAACCTTGAGTGCAGGTGCAGCAGCAGAGCAGCGGAGGAAATAGCTTGGGAGTGAGAACGGATGATGAACAACAATGGAGTAGTTGGAGGCGGCTGCTCTTGTGATCAGACACCGGATAATATTTGTGTGCATGATTCTAACTATCTATATAACATATATATATGCACGGAAAGAGAGAGAGTGAGTGAGTTTTCGATCGATCTTACGATTGGGATGAGGTGAGGAGTGCGGGTGGAGAAAATGAAAACAAAAGTTGAGACAACTTTAAATTGGGCACCGGGAGGGAACCAGGGACGGATAGAGGAAGAATGAAAGAGTGGATGATTAATGCGGACACGTGTCGCATGTTGGAATAGGGGCTCAACATGCAGCGCGTTGCTCGTCGCCACTTCACTCCACAACGCAGCTTTGCTGGAAGTGGAAATTCTTTCCAACCCCATCCGCTCCTTGTATTGTAATGCTCCCACCTATATTTTCCCTTGCTACTAACTACTAACAAAGATCACAATCAGCGTATGGTTTCCTTCAAAATTCTTGCAAATATTTCATCACTGTTGTTTGTTTCCAATTTGAATTTATGCAAACCATCTTAATATCTTATCCATCCAATCCAATTAGAAACCGTACAAACTTATCCCTCACGTTCCAAACTGCTATTGGTCTTATTTATTCTAATAAACCGGATCTCGTGTTCTTCTCGGAGACGCGGTCGAGCCGGCGTGTAGTGTCCCGTCGTATGCGGGGGTTAGGATTTGCTAGTTCCCATTGTTTCTTTGTAGATGCTATCGATTCTTCTGGGGGGTTAGTTGTGGCTTGGGCCCCTGGAGTTGACACTTCGGTGTTGTTTCATTCCAATTTCTTTATTTGTTTGCAAGTTAATGAAGAAGGATTTTCTTATGTGGTGTTTTTTGTCTACATTAGTTGTAACACTGCTACTCGTGCTATACAACTAGCCCACTTGAGTGATATTTGTGGAAATATTTCCCTCCCTTATGCTGATCATTGGCGATTTCAATGCTACCCTGCACGAGCAGGAGAAGGATGGGGGTAGGGACTGGAATGCGGCTCAGGCTGTTAGCCTGCGTGAGTTTGTTCATGATTTGGGTCTCCATGATCCAGGATTCCAGGGGGATCAATTCACTTGGACAAACAAGCGTATGGGTGCAGCCTGTATTCGGGAACGCTTGGATAGAGCGCTCTGTTCTCAGGCTTGGATTGACGCATTTCCGGAAACGTTGGTCAAGCACTTTACTGACCAAGGTTCGGATCATCGTGCCCTGCTCCTTTCGGATAGACCTTATAGTAGAACCGGTCGCCCTCTCTTCCGCTTTGATGCCCGCTGGGCGGATAACCCGGAGGTTAGGGCTATGGTCCATTATGTCTGGAAAGAGGATATTCAAAGTACCCCTATGTTCAGGCTTTGGGAACGCCTTAAAAGATTACTCCATCTGCTGTATGATTGGAGTAGGGCTGGTACCACAAATTCTCTGCGTAATATTAAGACGCTTCAGGCGGAGATTGATCGAATTAAAGCAGTTCACCCGGTGGATTGGGATATGGTTCGTACCCTGGAATCTGAATTGTCCCGCCAATGGGAAGCTGAGGAGATGTATTGGCAACAGAAGTCCAGGGTTCGTTGGTTAAAGAAGGGGGATCAGAACTCTACTTATTTTCATACGGTCACTCGAACCCGGCGGAAAAAGAATTTCATCGCTGGGCTCCGAAGGGATGATGGTGAGTGGATCACGGAGGAAGCTGGGAAAGCAGCCATTGGTACAGAATTTTATCAATCCCTGTTTACCTCTGAAGCGCAGGTCCAGAATATGGCGGAGTGGGTGGCTAGTCTACCGATTGACCGGAGTGTTACTCCGCAAATGAATGCGCGGCTGACAGCTGAGGTTCTGCCTATTGAGGTCAGAAGAACGGTCTTTGCGATGGGATCGACACAGGCCCCAGGCTCTGATGGCTTCACAGGAAAGTTCTTCAAGGCTTTCTGGGATGTTGTGGGCGATTCTGTGGTTGAAGCGGTTATTTCGTTCTTTGAAACGAGTAAGATGTTGAAAAGCTTTAACCATACGTGGCTCACCTTGATCCCTAAAGTGGACTCTGTGGAGAATATTAGACAATTACGCCCGATCAGCCTTTGTCAGTTTACTTATAAAATTATAACCAAAATTATGGCTGAGTGTCTTGCTGGTCTGCTGCCTCAAATTGTTTCGGAAGGACAGAATGCATTTATTTGCGACCGGCAAATTATTGATAACATCCTTATTGGGCATGAGTTAATGCATTATCTTAAAATCAAGAAGCAAGGAAAGAAAGGGTACATGGCTTTGAAGGTTGACATGGAAAAGGCCTATGATAGAGTCGAATGGCCCTTTCTCCTCGCAGTTTTGGATAAGATGGGCTTTAGCTCGATCTGGCAAGGATGGGTTCATGAGTGCCTTCGGTCCTCATCGTTCTCGGTGCTAATGAATGGCACGCCTGCTGGGTATTTCTCTGCTTCCAGGGGCCTCCGGTAGGGGGATCCGTTATCGCCTCTCCTGTTTGTGCTTTGCACGAAAGGGTTTGCGGCTCTCCTCCGGAAGGCAATTTCGGAGAAGCGTTTGGAAGGGGTGAAGGTGGCTCCTCGTGCTCCCCGCATCTCGCACTTATTCTTCGCCGATGATTCCTACCTATTTCTGCGGGGGTCTTTGCAGGAGTGCGAGAATCTAATTGAGGTTCTGAACGAATATGAAGAGCTTAGTGGCCAATGTGTAAACCTGGCAAAATCGGCAGTGTGCTTTAGCAAGAATGTTTCCTTGCCTGACCAGGAGTTTTTGGCCACGATTCTTGGGGTTGGAGCAGTGGGGGTTCATGACAAATACCTGGGGCTTCCTACTCTGGTGGCCAGATCCAAAATGGCCACTTTCAGATATCTCGAGGAGAAGCTAATAGAGAGGCTTCAGGGATGGAAACAGAAAACGCTTTCATGGCCTGCTAAGGAAACTCTAATTAAGTCCATAGCTCTGGCCTGCCCTTGCATGTTATGTCTTGTTTCCGGCTCCCCCTATTCCTGTGTCGGCTCCTCGATAAACACGTGGCCCGATTTTGGTGGGGTGCTACAGAGGACCATTTCAAGATTAGATGGGTGTCCTGGCGGAATATGTGTAGGAGCAAACATGAGGGGGGAATGGGGTTTCGCCAGTTTGAGCATTTTAACCAAGCTTTGTTAGCAAAGATTGGCTGGCGGATTCTGAATGAACCACAGTGTCTCCTTGCCCAAGTTTATAAAGGGAAATACTTTCCACTGGGTTCTTTTCTCAAGGCTACTGCGAGATCTCGCCCCTCTTGGGGGTGGCAGAGTATCCTTTATGGGCGCCAGTTGCTAGAGAAGGGGGTAAGATGGCAGATTGGCGATGGTCACTCGGCCTCTCTACTCCACTCAAACTGGATCCCTGACCACCATTTGGACGCCCCCTGCTATAATCCGATAGTCCTTCCGGATGGGGGGATCCCTTGGTGGCAGAAGTTATATGTCAAGGGGAAGGACGGTAGTCGGAAAGGAAGCTGAGTCAATGGTTTGATCCTCCTACCTGCAAAGCCATCCATGCTATTCCTCTTCCGCGCCGGAGCATCGCTGATAAGCTTATTTGGCACAACACAGTTGATGGGGTGTTTACGGTGAAATCTGCTTATCATCTGGCTGTTGGGTTGGATAGGCGGAGGGGAGGATGGAGATCTGAGGTTAGTTGGATGGACAAACCTAGTTGGATCAGAGTCTGGGAAGCTAAGATACCACCGAAGTTGAAGGTCTTTGTCTGGCAAATTCTTAACCGGGTTCTTCCTACAACAGAGGCGTTGGTTGGGAGAAAGGTTCCTGTGTTGTCCCGGTGTCCAGTCTGCTGGGAGAGCCCTGAGACAATGGAACATCTGTTTCTTTATTGTCCGGTTGTGAGAGCTCTCTGGGACTATTCTGGGCTGGATTATCTGGGAGAGGGATTGCCTCGTCATACGTTCCCTTTATTCCTCAAACGTCTTTTGGCCTTAATCCATCAACCATCGGTGGTTATGACGGTAGTTGCGGTCCTTTGGCGGATCTGGCGGTCACGAAACTGGGTTGTCTTTGACGGCAACCAGTTTGGGATTCCCGCGCTAATGAGACAGATCCATCAGCAGGTTGAGGAATGGATGGCTCTGCCCCTGGAGCAGGCGCCTACAGTGGCAGGGCCAAGGGTTCAGTTGGTTTCGGGGGAGGATTCACATGTGGTTTGCAGGTGGGATGGGGCGACCAGGAGGGGATCGCACTCGGCTGGTGGGATGGTTCTTCTCGTTCAGGAGAGGATACTTCTGGCAAAGGGGGTGCAGTTTCCTAGTATGGATGAGCCTGCACTGGTGGAGTTGCTGGTGCTGCGAGAGGCTATAACCTGGTGTTTGGAGTGTGGGTTCACGGAGGTCCGGTTTGAGGGGGATGCCAAGGTGCTTATTGATAAAATTAATCAGGGCGACATGAGGGACAACCGATTGGGGGCGATCCGGGAAGAAATTAGGCAGTATTTGTGTGATCACCCGGGGTTTAGTGTGCGATTTATAGGTCGGGAGAACAATAGGGTAGCTCATTCGGTAGCTAGAAAAGCCCTCTCTTTGTATCCGACTATGAGTCGTTTGTTTGATTTCAGAGCCTGGCTGGTTTCCAGGATGTAACTATCTTTTATCAATATATGATATCTTTTGACAAAAAAAAAAAAAAACCCGTACAAACTTATCCAATATTTGTATATTTGGATGATTATGAATCATATTTAAATTCATCCATTTCATTGTAACCGATACACCTGGTAAATTCGGGTTACGGATCGTCACGGGTCGGATCATGTTGAGTTGATTGATTTCGAGTCATATGTCGACTAATCTATCAGGTTTTGGATAGGATCTTGAGTCATTTCGCGTTATGAGAATTCTCAAAAACAATATTAAACATGCATGTTTTATAAAATTTCAAAGAGCACAAATTTTCACATGTTGTATGACATTAATTTACCATTTAACAAATACTCAAATCCTTCTACGCTAAATGAAAAGAAATAAAAGTTACACAAATTGTCAAAAAACAATCACAAAAGTTAAATACTACTATAAGAAAAGAAACAACTAATGTTTGATTATCCTTACACTCCAAGCTTGTCTTTTAAATCCTTATGAATTTTTTTAAGCATCTCAACAATTATAAGTGATTTTATCATTTTGAATGCCAACATATGAAATGGAACAGGTCTAACGGGTCGACCGCCTAACCCACCCAACCCAACCCAACCCAAAAAAACTACGAGTCGATTGGGTTCGGGTCGTTTGGGTTTCGAGTTATAAAAAATTCTCAACTCATTTTTTATTTTCGTACGAATTTGGATCGGGTTAATAGGTCGGATCATGATTTGCCAGGTCTAGCAACAGAGTGATTTTTGGTTGAATATCGATGTACCCACCTAATATTATAGACCTCACCATAAGTTCGATTCCGTGTTTGTGAAATCATACCGTATTAGTAACTTAATCGGAAAAAACTTTTGGTTGAATATCGATGGATCCACCTAATATTATAGACCTCATTATAAGTTTGATTTCATGTTGTGAAATCATACCGCACTAGTGACTTAATCAGAAAAAACTTTCAATAGAAATTTAGTTTGATAGACAATTTTAACGTATGAAATGACTAAATCGTAATTAAACTACGATTTTAAGTTTTCAACACAAAATAACATACCACTTGACTTTTCCGATACCATCCAAGTACAGCCCACTACGAATTCGCAATTGGTTTGGTTCCAATAAAAAAAAAAATAAAAAAAATCAAGTGCCCAGACTCCAGACTGGGCCTATGCTGGACTTACCCAAGTACGGCCCAACTTCTGTAGCTGTACACACTACATAGGCACGGATGCCCCTTTCAGCCTTTCCCTGACCCTCGTGCAGCCGTGCTCGTATAGTCGTACGCGGCGATTGGTGCAGTTGCCCGCTCGCTCGCTTGCTGTTCTATTCTATGCCAGCCATCAAACAAAATTACAAACCCCAGTCCGCGGACAGTTCTCACTTCAATATCTTGCAACTCCCAACTCCTCCATTTTCTTCAGTTTCCTTTGTTCTTCGGCATCTTCCTGCAACACCACCGCTGGTTTTTGCTGCTCAGTTTAACCGTCTGTCGCCGAAATCCCTTCCATATCGATGGAGTCGAACGGAGACGACACCGCTCGTATCCTCGCTGAACTCGAATCCCTCAAGTCCGCCAAAACCGACATAGACAACCGAATTCGAGCTCTGGAAGCTCAGCTCAGGGACTTGAACCTCCAGAAGCCGGCCGTCTCCAACAACGGGTCTTGTTATTCAGGCGGCTCGGCCGTTGATTCTGCTCTCGCTCACGGATTATCGCCGGATATGATTTACCGCTACAGCCGCCACCTCCTCCTTTCCTCTTTCGGAGTTCAAGGTCAGTTCTTTCAAAGTTCCACTTTCTTCCTTCCTCCCAATTTCGCTGAGGAAACAAGACAATTATGGGTTTAGACTTGAAACAAACTTGTGCAATTTGCAGCGCAGTCAAAGCTCGTTAAGTCTTCAATTTTAGTGGTTGGAGCAGGAGGATTGGGGGCACCTGCTCTGATGTACCTTGCCGCTTCTGGGGTTGGTAAGATTTTGCTCTCTACTCTCTTTGTTCAATGCTTGCCATCTTCTTCCTCTCCCGCCATTTTTGTAACTCTCAGCTCCCGGGTTTTCTCTGTAGGCCGGTTGGGTATCGTCGATCATGATGTTGTTGAACTAAATAACATGCATAGGCAGGTACATTTGGTTGTCCGTTTCCCTCTCGTAACTGGTTATGATGAATTAGTATCGAATGTAATGCCTAATTGCCCGTTTCCCTCTCGTAACTGGTTATGATGAAGTTCTAGTTAGTATACGTATTTGCTGAACTTTGCTTGATTGGTTTTGTCTCGCCTCTGATCACAGGTTATACATACTGAAGCGTTTATAGGTCAACCAAAAGTGAAGTCCGCTGCTGCTGCCTGTCGCTCGTAAGTGTATCATTTGGTGCTGATTCTGTATAGATATGGATTTAGGCAGTTCAGCCCTAGCTGCTTATTAGCATATAACATGAGTTAAAGTTGAGCTACTTGTAGGGTTTGAGTTTTCATTGATTAAAGTTTTCAACGTTTGCTGTATCTTTGAATTTCCTGTTCCATTTTGGCTCTACAGAATCAACTCCTCGATTCAGGTAGCAGAACACCAAGAAGCATTACGGACATCCAATGCAATTGACATTATGAGCCAGTATGGAATTTTGTAGCCCCTTGGTGCTTGCATTTCTTTTTCTCTCTTCATTGGTGTTTTTCAGCTGCTACCATCTTTCTTCAGATACGACATAATTGTAGATGCTACAGATAATGCACCAAGCCGTTACATGATCAGTGATTGCTGCGTCGTGTTGGGCAAGGTACCTTCTATCCACTGTCTTTTTCAATCTGTTTATGTCCCACATGGGATTTCAGTACCAGATACTTCATCCTCTAGTCTAGTTGCTAACCGTTCCTCCATATCCAGCCTCTTGTGTCGGGTGCTGCATTGGGATTGGAGGGTCAGGTACATTATGTTTCATCCAAAATATGTTTGCTGCACCATATGCAAAAACTACTGGAACTGTCTATCTGTAGTTAAACACCCACCCCCACCCCCTAAATCACTATTGTCACTTTGACGTTTAGCTTACAGTCTATAACTACAATGGAGGGCCATGCTACAGATGCCTTTTTCCTACTCCACCGCCTGCAACAGCTTGTCAAAGGTGCTCAGATAATGGAGTCCTGGGAGTGGGTAAGCCAAGAACCAATTTATTATCCGCCATTTTGATTTTACGGTGTTTGAAATATACAAGCCGCTTAAGTCCATTTTCATATTACACCTTTGAGGCATGAAATTGACTATAGCCAAGATTGACGTTGTGAACATGATTTAATGTTTGCAGTCCCTGGAATAGTTGGCTGCCTCCAAGCTCTAGAGGCCATTAAAATTGCTAGTGATGTTGGGGAGCCATTGTCAGGACGCATGCTTCTTCTTGATGCATTATCAGCACGAGTTCGGATTGTATGTTACCTGCTTATCAATCTTCAAGTGGTCTTATTTTATTCATGTTATCCATTTTTCTGCAGGTTTTCATGATGAGCTGTTGAATATTTTGCTTAGGTCAAGATTAGAGGCAGGTCATTACAGTGTGAAGTTTGTGGAGAAAATACAACATTCACAAAGGAGCAATTTAAGAAGTTTGATTACGAGAATTTCACTCAATCTCCCTTGTCAGCGGTATTCGCTCATATCCCCTCTTTGATAGACAGGCAAGGCTAATCAATATCTCAGTGTCTGAAACATCATGAATCTTTCAAACTGAATGCAGGCTCCCTTGAAGCTGAACCTGCTCCCAAACGATTCCAGGATAAGCTGCAGCGAGTTCAATGAGAAAGTCACAAAGGGAGAACCATTTGTTTTGATTGATGTACGACCGGTACACCACTTCAAGATTGTTTCTCTTCCAAATGCCATGAACATCCCCCTCCCAAGTTTGGAGGGTAGGCTGCCTGAGATCTCTTCAGCCTTGAAAGAAGAAGATCATTGTAGGGGCAACAAAAACCCTGAGTCAACTGTTGGCCTATACGTGATGTGTAGAAGAGGCAATGACTCACAGAGAGCAGTTCAATTGCTGCAGAGGATGGGATTCCCCTTTGCAAAGGATATCGTTGGTGGCCTAGAGGGCTGGGCTCGTGAGGTGGATGCAAATCTGCCCACTTACTAGAGGCGGAATTGTTTGATCTTTCAATACTTTTTCCTGCATGAAATCCTGTACCTCAAGGTAGGGGATGCAAACTCATTGCTAACAGTTTACTCTACTGTTTTTGCCCTCAAGTTATCTGTATAATCTACTTTTAACTATTTTGGGGAAGATCTTTACTTTAAAATGTAGGGCCCTTGTTGAACGTTTGCTCAAAATAAAAAAAAAATAAAAAAAATGGAGAGAGGCGCTCTCCTCTCTCCTTGAGCTTTCTTGGGCGTTTGATGTTCTGCCTCTCCTGCAGATATGCCGATCGGCTGGCTAAGCCTTTCTTCATTTCTGTTGGGCGCAGCGGGTGAGAATAGCGGGTAAATATATTGCACTAAAAAATCACACGCTTGTAAAAAGTTCACAAATAAGTTGGACCTGGTGGCAGAGCCTCGAGAATTACGGTAACCAACTTACTTAGATCAATTTACTTCGGTAATTTAATGCAATATACTACGACTATTCTCAAAATAACAACAAGCATAGATAATAATAAATGACACCGAGGATTTACGTGGTATACCCTGATTTTGGGCCAGTCCACGGGAATAGCAGCTCCGGAGTATTTCTTTACTATAACAATGGTAGGTTACAGAGATTTTCTCGATACAAGAAATAGAGGAAAAAATCCAAAAGTACCACTGTTTAAAAAAAAATTTCCAAAAATACCACCCAACCCTAAAAAATTCCAAAAATACCACCCTTTTTCAAAAACCGCCACCCCACCCAGCGGTTTGGTCGAAAACCGCTTGTCGGGGGCGCGGTTTTGGACCAAACCGCGGGCCTAGGGGGCGGCTATAAAAAAAAAAAATTTGGACCAAAACCGCTGGGTGGGGTGGCGGTTTGGCCCAAAACCGCCACCCCAACCAGCGGTTTGGTCCAAAAGTTCGGTCGAAACTTCAAACGAACGTAACTTTGCACTCGGGTATCCGATCATAGCGATTTTTTTTTCATTTCGCATAACTTTTCAAGATCTACAACTTTTACTAGGATGAAAGTTTCAAAACAGGAACTATTTGTGGATATACGGGACCTTGAGAATAACTTTACCTTTACTTTTCAGAAATCCATGTACATTTTGAAATTATGATTATATTAAAAGTTGTAGATTTTGAAAAGTTATGCGGAATCAAAAAAAAGTTCATAACATTCGGAGTTTGGAGCACAAAGTTATGGCCGCCCAAAGTTTGACGAAAGGCGAGACCCGGCGGTTTGCGGCTTGCAAGATCTCAAAAAGTTTGCGGCCTCCATTTTTTGAATCCGAATAACTTTTTGAGATCTTGCAAGTCTCAAACAGTCAGGTTCCGTCTTCGTCTCGAAAAAACGTCATTTGCCACCCCGAACGACTTTTTTTTATTTCGTCAAACTTTGGGCGGCCATAACTTTGTGCTCCAAAATCTGAATGTCATGAATTTTTTTTATTCCGCATAACTTTTCAAGATCTACAACTTTTAATATAATCATAATTTCAAAATGTACATGGATTTCTGAAAAGTAAAGGTAAAGTTATTCTCAAGGTCCCGTATATCCACAAATAGTTCCTGTTTTGAAAATTTCATCCTAGTAAAAGTTGTAGATCTTGAAAAGTTATGCGAAATGAAAAAAAAAAATCGCTACGATCGGATACCCGAGTGCAAAGTTACGTTCGTTTGAAGTTTCGACCGAACTTTTGGACCAAACCGCTGGTTGGGGTGGCGGTTTTGGGCCAAACCGCCACCCCACCCAGCGGTTTTGGTCCAAATTTTTTTTTTTTTATAACCGCCCCCTAGGCCCGCGGTTTGGTCCAAAACCGCGCCCCCGACAAGCGGTTTTCGACCAAACCGCTGGGTGGGGTGGCGGTTTTTGAAAAAGGGTGGTATTTTTGGAATTTTTTGGGATTGGGTGGTATTTTTGAAATTTTTTTTTAAACAGTGGTACTTTTGGATTTTTTCCAGAAATAGAACACACGGTGTTTCCCAAACAACCTCACTATTTCACTCACAAGGAAATCTCCTATCTACCCGTGGTAGTGAAAACGTTTCACTACCAAAAACCCACAAAAGAAATACGAAACAGAAGCAGAGCAAATGAAAGGAAATGGAGAATAATGGAATGGTGAGGGATGATGAAATGAGGCTACTGCCTCTGCCTTTTATAGGCTAATGGGAGACAAAGGGAAATTAATTCCCACCTGCTCACTCACCTCCCCAACTGCATTCAGTGACTTTGTTCACAATTTTTTTATTTTTATTTCCACTGCCAACTGAATTGCTGGCCTCTTCCTCACCATATGTAGGCGGGCCAACAATTCTCCCCCGCCTGACTACATAGGTGACTTCGTCATCCCTGCAGCTGATCGACAGAACTCAAACTTTTCTCTTGGAAGAGTCTTGGTACACATGTCAGATCCATTTTCATCAGTATGGATCTTCTTTAGTTGTAGCTGCTTCATTTCAAGCACATCTCGTATCCAATGATATCGAACATCGATATGTTTTGATCGGGCATGAAATGAAGCATTCTTCGCAAGATGAATAGCACTTTGACTGTCACAGAACAACTGCGGTTGTTCTTGTTGAAACCCAAGTTCTTTCAAGAACTTCTTCATCCAGATCATCTCCTTGCACGCTTCCGTTACTGCTATATACTCAGCTTCTGTTGTGGAAAGAGCTACACACTTTTGTAGCCTTGACTGCCACGATATTGCTCCCCCTGATAAGGTAATCAGGTACCCAGAAGTGGACCTCCTCGAATCAACATCACCTGCCATGTCACCATCTGTATAGCCAATAAGGACAGGTTCACCATCTCCAAAACATAGACTCATTTTGGAGCTACCTCGAAGATATTTGAGGATCCACTTCACAGCTTCCCAATGTTCCTTTCCTGGTTTGGAAAGAAACCGACTGACAACTCCAACTGCATGAGCAATATCTGGCCTTGTACACACCATGGCGTACATCAAACTTCCCACTGCTGAAGCATATGGAATTTTATCCATCTCCGCCATTTCCTTCTCAGTAGACGGGCTCTGTTTGGATGTCAATGTAAAGTGGTTAGCAAGAGGACAGCTAACTGCCTTAGCATTATCCATGTTGAAACGCTGAAGTACTTTCTCAATGTACTTTTCTTGTGACAACCATATCTTCTTGGCACCTCGATCCCGAATGATCCTCACGCCAAGAATCTGCTTTGCTGGTCCCAAGTCTTTCATGGCAAAAGACTTGCTCAACTCCTTCTTCAAATCATTGATCTTTGAGACGTTTTGCCCAGCAATAAGCATATCATCCACATAGAGCAACAGTATGATGAAATCTCCATCTGAGAATTTCTTCACAAATACGCAGTGGTCTGAAGTAGTCTTCTTGTAGCCTTGCTCCCCCATAACAAACTCAAACTTCTTATACCACTGCCTTGGTTCCTGCTTCAAGCCATACAAGCTCTTTTGAAGCTTGCACACATAGTCCTCATTTCCCTCTTTCTTGAAGCCTTCTGGTTGCTCCATGTAAATCTCTTCCTCCAAATCACCATGAAGGAAAGCAGTTTTCACATCCATTTGTTCAACCTCCAGGTTAAGATTTGCTGCTAGTCCCAGCACAGTACGAATGTATGTCATTTTCACCACAGGTGAAAATATCTCGTCAAAGTCAATGCCTTTCCTTTGACTGAAGCCTTTCACGACTAGTCTGGCTTTGAAGCGTGGCTGACGATTGTGTTCATCATGTTTGATCTTGAACACCCACTTGTTCTTCAAAGCTCTCTTGCCTTTTGGCAACTTCACCAGCTCAAATGTGTTGTTCTCATACAAGGAATCCATCTCGTCTTGCATGGCTTCTATCCACCTTTGCTTGTATTCATCATTCATAGCTTCTGTGAAGCTTTCTGGTTCTCCGCCGTCAGTAAGTGAGACGTATTCAGTCTCGGGATATCTGGTAGACGGTCGTGAAATTCTACCAGATCTTGTTGTTCGAACAGGAGAACCTTCTATGGCTGGTGGTTGACCATCGTCATCAGCATCTTCTGGTTGAACCTCCACATGGGCATCTGGTTCAACTATCTCAGGCTGATCATGTTGTGCTTCTTCTCCAACTTCTGTAGGCGCTGGTGTTGGAGGCACTAGCTCAAGGTTTGGCTGACTAGCATCAGTACTAGGAATTTCTTTCCTAGCAACAACATCTTCGATGGTCTCATTCTCGATGAACACAGCATCACGGCTTCTGATAAGCTTCTTCTGGATTGGATCAAAGAATCTATAGCCAAACTCATTTTGACCATAGCCAATGAATACGCACGGTCGCGTCTTTGAATCCAACTTTGACCTTTCATCCTTTGGAATATGGACAAAGGCCTTGCAACCAAACACCCGCAAATGTTTGTAGGAAACTTCTTTTCCTGTCCACACCTTCTCTGGGGCGTCATACTTCAGTGGCACACTGGGTGACCTGTTCCACACGTAAACTGCTGCAAGCAGTGCCTCCCCCCAGAAAGATTGTGGTAGCTTCGAGTGTGATAACAAGCACCTGACTCTCTCTAGCAGGGTCCTGTTCATCCTCTCAGCTAGCCCATTCAATTGCGGCGTCTTTGGTGGTGTGAATTGCTGCCGAATTCCATGTTCCTTGCAGAAGGTAGCAAACGGACCTCTGTACTCTCCACCATTGTCAGTCCGGATGCACTTCAGCTTCTTGCCAGTTTCCCTCTCAACCAGGGCCAGGAATTGCTTGAAAACGTCTAGGGCCTGATCCTTGGTCTTCAAGGTATACACCCAAGTCTTCCGTGAATGGTCATCAATGAATGTCACGAAATATCTGGCACCTCCAAGTGATTTGACGTTGACATCGGGTTCACAAAGATCTGAGTGAACTAGATCCAACACTTTCTTCGCTCTTGAAGGGATGGAACTTTTGAAAGCAACTCGGTTTTGCTTTCCCGCAAGGCAATCGGCACACTTCTTTAGATGAACATGATCCAACCCAACTATGACTTTCTTCTGGGCCAACTTCGCCATGGACTTCTCACTCATGTGACCGAGCCGTTTGTGCCACAATTCAATTGTGTCACCATTCTCCGCTGAGTTGACAATCTCTGGGGAGATCTTGGCTTCCGTCACATACAGCTTTGACAGCTTCTTGCCCTTGGCCAACACCAAGGAGCCTCTGGTGAGTTTCCACTGGCCATTGTGAAAGGTGTTACAGTAACCTTCCTCATCCAACTTGTCTACAGAGATGAGATTCAGGCGCATTTCTGGAACATGTCTGACATCCTTCAGTAGTAGCTTTGTACCATTCATCGTCTCCAAGCATACTTCTCCTTTTCCAATAACTTTGGAAAGGTTGCCATTTCCCATCCT